AAACCAAAATCAACTCAGTATGAGTCGACGCATAATGGTTTGTATCGACACATTTCTATTTTGCGTTGACTCATTCGTGTTTTGTGTCGACCCATAACCTATTTTACACCTAATATGCATCAACTCATAGAGACATACATCGACTCATACTGTTGTTTTTCACTTCTAACATTGTTTTGTCACACACATAAGTTAGTTCTCAACACATGGTTAGTGAAAAATGAAGAAAAAAACATATAGTTAACTTCAGGGCTATAATATCTACATTTTAGCTTCACAACTGAACTGTTGATGATGCTTGTATGAATAGTTCAAAGTCAAGAAGACTTACCTTGAAGCTGAACTCTGTGTTTTGAGTTTGAGTTACTGTATTGTCTTGGAGAAAGCATGTTGGAGGTGGCTATTTTTTTTAGTTTGGGAAATAGTGATGTTACAGAAATTCTTCTCGTGTTTGAACAATTTCTATGTGATGTATATGAAGTATTTGGACAGTTGGCTTAGAAGGAAACTTGCAAGGTTGTATAGTGGGTTGAGGTTTTTTCTGTTTTCAGTTTTTGTTTTATGAATGAAAATAAAGTGGAAGATGAGTAGAGTTTACAAAGAATTTTGTTAATTTTTCCAAATCCTCTTTTTTCTCTTTCTCCCCCTTTTCTCTCTCAAAACATCTCCCTTTGTATGTTGTGAAACAACTTATTTATAGATGAAATTAACTGAAATTTGGGAGGGAAATAGATAATTTTTTTTGAACTGTTTGGGTACACTGTTTCATTGTTTTTAGTTGCAGCTCTTATATGCTAAGTCTGTGCAAATATGAGACTGATATGATGCAGATTTTGTAGCGCAGCATTGTAGGTTTTGGAGCATATTTTGACAGTTTTCTTGGCATTACTATGCATGTCTTTGACAGCAGGATATGTAGCATGATTCAGGTCTGATTTTGTGGACATATTTATGCAGCTTGTAACAAAGAGAAGGTATATTTATGGACAACATAGTGGCAAAGTTTGAAGATTGAGTAAAAGGGAAAGGTTCAAACAAGATAAAGCTTAAGATTTGTAACTTGCAATTTTTTAACTTAAAAATGCAGCCTTGTTGTTTACTTGAAAACTTGTAACAACTTGAACTATCTTGAATTATAGTGAAAAGATGTCATGAAGTAATGAAATTAACATGTATAAAAAAACACTTAGAAAAATTTCTAAGTCTTGCAAAGTTTGACTTTTCAAAATGACTTTTGACCTTCTTGATTTCTTGATGATCAAATTTCATATTTTTGAATGTCTTGATGAAGTCTAATCTTTGAAACTAAAATTTGATAAAAATTTTAAAGTTTGACTTTTCAGTGTGCATATGACTTTTTTCATCAGTTGACCAAATTTTATCTATCAATCCACTGATCTCGGAAGATAAATTGAACTATGCGATTAGGTCAAAATGATGTACTTGAATCCTTGAGATCATATTTTGAACCAATAAGTCATATACTAGGTCAAAAAGTCAAAGATTGGTCATTCTCAGTCAAAACCCTAATTTTGACCATTTTGCCCTTTTGATGATTTAAACAATTTTCTTGGAGAATCATGATCCAATCTTGATCAAATGATACTTATGACTTCAAAATATTGATATTAGTCAAAAATCTTAAAATTTGACTGTAGGTTGACCACAATTGACTTTTTTTAATACAGCTAATTTTTAGGCCATTTGAGCAATTTTGTGATCCAAGACTTGAAACTTGACAGGAGAAATCTTGAGGGTCCATAATGATCCATGAAAGTCATTTGAAATATTAGAAGTCCAACTGTCTTTGTGAAACTCAAACCCTAACTTGAGACATCAGCGTTGATGAGATGACTTGACCTAGTCAATACTTGTGCAAGCTTGAATCATTGAAGATCTTTGTGAGAAGTATCTTGAGAAAGGGAGGGAGAATTTTGGGGTACAACAATTATGTTTAGGGGATATAACCTATCCCTCCTAGTCAAATATTGTTATTCACAGGTAGCCCAATAGCCATTCTATTTTCAGCATACATTGATGCATTCGAATGAAGGTCAACCATCATCGATTGAGGCATGCTATATTGATATAATCCAGGGGGTGGTGTCGACCCCAATTGAAATAAAGCCCTTGAAGGGTGAAGGGGCGAACCCCTAGTGATTCTCGGCGAGGACGAAATTGCTCTCATCAACCTGATGGCGGCGAACGTCCTCGTTAGGGATAAAATCGTCGCATTTTGAGACGTGGTACCCGTTGGTACTACATCCATATTTGGAGCATTGCTTTGTGCAAGGTTAGAAGTGTTGGTATGTGCCAGAGCGTGACATTTTAGACAATTGTTTTCCACTTCTCAAGTTCATGCATAACTAGACATTAGTGTTATGAAAAACTCAACAAACACCTACAATGACAATGACAAATACTACAACTATTTGAGAAAATATTTAGCACAAGAGCCCCATCAAATGTGTCAATTTATTTATCCAGACTTTTGGTAAATAACTTCTAATTTCTTATTAAAAGTTACTTGCAGGATTAAATAGGAAATTCTAGGACAAAGTGTTAATATTTCTTATACTTTCTCTTTTGTTTTAAATATTTTTTGATGAATTATGTAAAGGTAACGTCGAAAAACTTAAAATGCAGAGGACGAAAAAGAAAATACAGAAAAGGTAAAGTTTTAAAGCAAGAAGTTCATATTGAAAAGAAAATAAATAACTTGAAATTAATAAACTAGAACGCATATTATATGTGACGTATATTATAAAAAAAAAGTAGTTGAAAAGAATTTATATGTCTCGTATATTAAAAATAAAGATTCTGTGTGAAAGTACTTGTTTTTTAAAAAAATTACTTTTAAAAAAGAACGATAAAATTGGTGACAAAATGCAAAGAAAAGTAGTTGATTCGAAAGTAAAAAGAAGGAATGAAAAGATAAAAGAATGAGTGGTTGAAATTGAAACTCGATAGAAAGGTGAAACAATATCGAAACCAACTTCTCTGTGCGGTGTGAGATTCAAGAGAAAAAATGGAGATTACAACCCAGCAACTAAGCGCATACAACGGCACAGATCCATCGAAGCCGATATACGTCGCCGTGAAAGGTCGCGTGTTCGACGTCACCACCGGCAAATCGTTCTACGGCCCCGGCGGAGCCTACGCTATGTTCGCCGGCAGAGACGCGAGCAGAGCACTGGCGAAGATGAGCAAAAACGAAGAAGACATCACGTCGTCGCTGGATGGACTCACCGAGAAAGAGATCGGAGTTCTCAATGATTGGGAAACGAAGTTCGTCGCTAAGTACCCTGTTGTTGCAACGCTTGTTAATTAATTCAACTCTTTATGTCATGAATCATTGTATTCTGAAGTGTGTTTTGTATGAATCTGGCGTTGAATCGTCTTTGTTTCGATAATAATAAGAAGTTTTAGTTTCTGGAAAGGGGTTTTGTGTTAATTTAATGCTGCTTGTGTTTATGTAAAATAATGTTTTACTTGTACTTTGAATCGTTCAATAAATTAACATTGCGTGATTGATTAGGGTTTGTGTATTCAAAGATACCTAGTTATGTCTTTGTTGTTGTTATTAACTTGATTAACTAGGTTATTTATGATTAAGATGTGAAGGCCAGTTTCCATTGAGCATGATGGTCTTATTACTTGAGTAAACTTCTTCCAAATCCATTTTTAGACCCGGGCCATGTTTTGCCAACTAATTGAGTATATCTTCAATGCCAACTAACAAAATAATGGTGTTAATACATGTTAAGTGTCTAACTAGCAGCATCCTTTGTACACATCCATGTGATCTTCAAATCACATGATCCAATTTTAAAGATCGAATTGACCTTATGTGGAAATGAATTTGGTGCAATAAAAAACAACATGGTTTTATCTCAACAATTGAATCAACTTATACCATGGTATGACAAGTATAATTTATACCATACCATCCAATAAAAATCTCTCTTCTTTTTTTTCTCTTATCTAAATCTTCTGCTTAAGAAGAGAGGACTATGAAGACCAAAAGAGAGTACTGGGATTCAAATCCTAGTCATTGCGTCTAACTTAGCAATATCGATTTCTGTCAATTGAGTTAGATGAACTTTATTTATTTTATCAAGGTTAAACTGCGATTAATCAACCTATGGCCTACAAGAACTTGAGACATAATAAAAGGAGCTTGAAAACTTTAAGAAATTTGACATATGAATAATAACATTTATATAGCTCAACACCTATTTTTTCATATAATACGTAAAACTTCTAATTCAGAATTAACACATCAATTAGCCTCACAAATGAACACCTACTTTCTACAACTGGTAAATGCCCCCCACTACGCCCTGTCCCACTGTCACCAAATCTTATTATGAAGTCTTCCCCATGTTCTTCGTATCGATACGATAATGAGTAAGAATAATAAACAATCTTCATATTCATACTAGTAATACTTTTGAATCTGACTCCATAAGAAACGGTTATATACGATATAGAAAATCTAACCGCAAGTATCACGGTTAAATTTATCGTTATATTTCCTTTTCGACAGAGTAAAAGTAGTTATTATCGCACACACACAAAGTGACATCACATGATATAGAATAAATGAATTAACTTTATCAACCCATGTTACAGTTACACAAATAAAATACAAATCATATAAAATCAAATCTAATCTAATCTCCTAGAGCTGTACGCACGATACGCTTCAAGATATGATCTCAAAAATTAATCATGATTAATTAATAACCGAACGAGAATCAATTATAAACCTAAAATAACTAGATAAGAACAACAGAATCAAAGAGAGAGAAAAAGAAAGAATTTCAATCTTGTGTTTACAGTCTCTCAACAGTCATCAATCACCATCTTCTTGATTTCACAACAATCTTCTTCTTCTTCTTCTTCAGTTTCTCTCTGTTCGGGTATGCGTGATTTTTTAGCTTCTTTGATTTCTGTTTTGAGAAACTAAAGTTGAATGATGATTTTTATCTTGTAGAATGGGGATTTATCTTAGTACTCCTAAAACTGAGAAATTTTCTGAAGATGGAGAAAGTGATAATCTTAGATATGGTTTATCTTCAATGCAAGGATGGCGTGCAACAATGGAAGATGCTGTTAGTTGCTAATTTTATTAATTTGTTTCATTTTTCGTTCATTTGTTAACGAATCTTGAGAAATGTTAATCTTGAGGATTGTAGTGTATTTGTTGATTTAGGGTAATGTTTTGTTTCATTGTTTGAAAAGAAGCTATGGTTGATCCCGTGAATTGCGATATCAAGAATGAATGTGATGTTGTTGACTGTGTTTTTTAAGTTTGTATGTTGTGATTCATTCGGTTGATTTCGGCTGGTTCTTTAATATGCTGATGATTTTTTACTCTTTTTTCTTTTGTTAGCATGCTGCATATACTGATCTGGATGAGTCCACTTCATTTTTCGGTGTTTATGATGGTCATGGAGGTAAGATTTGAAAAGTATTTGGCTGATTCGATTGATGGAAGAATGTTAGGTTTATTACTTTGTTGGGAATTTCGAATGTCTTCTTTTCGTTGTGAAAAATGCATACAGTTTCCTTATACTTGCACCTTTTAAATCATATTTTGGTTAAGGAGAAAATCCAAAAGAAATTGTATAATTCGTAATCAAAGTGTGTTATGTATGCTCATTTAGTACCAAAAAATTTCAGGTAAGGTGGTTGCAAAGTTTTGTGCTAAGTTTCTTCATCAACAGATGCTCAAGAGTGAAGCATACTTAGCTGGGGATATTGGAACCTCTCTTCAAGAATCATTTTTAAGGTTAGATGAAAACAGGGTCCTATCTATGCTTAATGGAAGTTCCTCTGCATGTATTTTATAACTGAGTGACAAATTTGTTTCATGCTTGCCTGAAGTTGAGCTTTTATACTGTTCAAGACCTTCCATTTGAATCATCAGCTAAAATCTTTGTTTCATATTTCTTATTCTAAATCTTTTCTTCCTTAATATACAAAGAAGCACAGTAGATAATGGTCTCGCTCATATTTACATAGGTCTGTTTCGTGCATGGCTAATTAGGGGAGTGTGAAGAAACTCTATGTATATTTTTTATTTAATGATAATGGCATTGCATAGTCTTCCACTTATTCTATTCCATAACTTACATTATTGAGTAGACATGATGTGCGACATTATATCTTCTGTCTCCTTCGGTTGTAACTGATATAGCAGAAAAAGTTCCAATGGTTCCTAGTGTGTAATTCTCTGTCTCCCCCCTCGAAACTAAAATATGAAAAGAAAAACAGTTGTAAACTGGTATTTTCACTACTATGCAGAATGGATGAGATGATGCGTGGTCAAAGAGGATGGAGGGAGCTATCAATCTTGGGAGATAAGATAAACAAATTTACTGAATGATAGAAGGGTTGATTTGGTCTCCACGAAGCAGCAATGGTATTAGCAGAGTTGATGATTGGGCTTTTGAGGAGGTAGGTCTGACATTTGTGGATAGTTTAATATGCTTTAACTTTGAGCAAGGAAGTATCGTGTTCTTAGATAATAGTATTATGTTTCTCCCGACATGTTTATTTAATGTGAGCTTATTATGTTATGTTACACATTATTTGACTCTCCCTAATTTAAACTTATTTATTGGAATCAGGGGCCTCATTCTGATTTTGTTGGACCAACTTCAGGAAGCACAGCCTGTGTTGCAGTTATTAGAAACAACCAACTTCTTGTGGCAAATGCTG